TTAACCTCAAATGTGAGAATAACAACCGGTCTCACCTCCAGTTCGCCGAAGCGTGAGCATGAAACTGTTTGTTTGTACCTTGACGATACGTTTGAAAACAGAGCACCTGTCCAATGCGCACCAATGAGATGCAAGTTGTGCTGTTATTTTGTTAAGTAGGAAAAACACGACTGAAACTAATCCCACTTAAATATTGTGCAGTTACACACTTACAGTGAACATGCGGTTGTTATGGTCCCTTCCATCAGGAGCTGATTTGCCCCCAAATGAGCTCATTCTCCCAGATCAAGCTAACACCTTCAGGAGAACGTCTTCGAGAGTCTCACAGGTTTATCGCGAAAAAACGCTGGGCAGAGCCATAGGCGAGACTGGAGACATGATTGGGGTTTACCAGTCATCTGTCTGATTGAACTGGACCAGTACCTACTGATCGAAAGCAACTGGTGAGTGTGTACCAGAAGTTTACAGCGGAGGATTTGTTGGGACAGGAGGGCGCTCAGCGGTGCGCAGGAGGCGGTGTTACTCTGAGAATGGGAGGGCTGAAGAAAACTTTGGTGGAAAAAGTGTGTGGGGGGGGGGGGACTAAATGACGATTATGAAGCCACTCTGAATCGTCTTTGAGATTAAACGTGATATCATTTTCTAATAGTTTAAACCCCATTACATATTTCCTGTTGCTAGGGCTGGAGAGATAATCTGATTCCACACAGTCTGACAGTCACATGCTCTTCTATCAGCTTTTTTCAGCTCTAACCACCAGACTCCATGTTTGTATGGCTTCATAATACTATGATATTAACATATTGATTATTCCTGACTCTTTATTCCATATACTTGTATCTACAATGTAATGACATTTTAGGTATCCTTTACAACGTTGTGATCTCCATTTATAATTGATGTGGACTTGAAAATGGTTTGGAAAACAGGAGTTTTCACTGGTGGTCAGGAGAAAACAAATACCCCTTTTAGAAAACTCCATGACATTGTCAGAAAAGTCTCTACTTTTCAATAAGCTCATAAGACTAACATCATTTTTATACTGTCCACAGTGTTGGCTGATTGTTCACACTAAGCCCTTTTACCACAGTAAAATAAGGGTACATTGAGTGCAGGGTGCTTTACTCCTACTAATGTGTCTATCAGTCCATAGATAATTTTCTCATTAGGTTTTCTGTTTCAACTGTTGCCTCTCTTCAGCAGCACTGCCTCTGTGTGCTGTTGGTGTCTGGCGCCATCCTCTGGCAAAAACACAGAACAGTATCTCTCCAGTTAAAAGGGCGCGGGGGTACTAGGTTAAATATTTAATTAGTACACTTTAAATATTTCATGTGGGTGATGTAAGCGACAGTATGCTCTAAAACATTTATCTGTTCCTGCCCTCAAACGACCTATTTAGGGAAACCCATAGTCGTGTGTCCTCTGGTTGTCAAACTCATGCCGTATAACACATTTAAATGGAAAATATAAATAATAAAAATATTTATTTTATTGTAATTTTATTTTATTTGAAGAATTTCAAGTTGGGATGCAAAATACTCGAAGATTTTTGAAGGACACACAAAGATGTGTGTTAAGACACAGTAACACAAGTAATTAAAAACATTTACAGTCCACAAATGGTACAACAAAGAGTTATTAAGAAAATATAAATCGGCTTGGTGTTCATTTTGAGCCTCTTCTAATTGATTAAACAACTTCTGTCAAACCTTTCAGTGGTATTTTGGCCATTACAATCATTAAGGTTTTTAAAATGTAATTAATGGCAAAGACACTTTTTCTCGCAGGAACATTTGACTAAAAGTGATAAATGACACGCAGATATGATGGGTTAGGAGTAAGATAGGATGAAGTTAGTGAGCAAGAGAGGGCGTTGAGGATGCTGCGAGGCACTGTTCAGGGTCCTGAGTAACGGACAGGAGACGCACCTCAGTCTGTCTCGCCTCTTAATAAGCATCATCCTTTCTATATTTGTTTCAATCATCACTTTAGGTTACTCTTACCTTGTTTTTTCTCTTTAGCAGATGACTTGTAAATCCAAATATGATATCGGAGTCAACGAAGAATGTCCCCAGGTCTATGACACTGGGGTTAGGCTTCTCAGCTCCGGGAGACCCCGATGAGTTTGGCAAAGCCATGTGGGCTGCGAGTATAGCCTAGAGAAAATATCCCACTCTTTGGGAAACCTATTTCATTTGTATATCCATCTAAATCAGTTCTCTCGTACCCTCCAAAAAGATCCACAACGCTTTTTAATCCGGACATCCGGTGACTCACGGTGAGGGCTGTGTGCACGTGTGCGTAAAATCACCTCTCAGGTTTCCAATAGTCCGAGAAGACAACAAAGCAATACAATCCATCCGGTATGCAAGAAAAAAGGTTCACATCCAAGTGAAATACTTTTTTTTTAAGCCATCCCGAGGCTGGTCATGCCTGATCTCTGAGCGCTGGAGATCTGAGAGCGATGGAGCACCTTGTGCATGTGCTGCTCTGTTCTCCAGCATCTCTCTCCCTCACTCCCCCTTCTCCCTCCCTCCCTCCCTCCCTCCCTCCCTCTCTCACTCACTCACTCACTCACTCACTCACTCACTCACTCACTCACTCACTCACTCACTCACTCACTCACTCACTCCCCCCTGTCAGACAGTGATGACCTGCTCTCTCACCCGATTTGCTGGTGCATCATTGTCAGCCCCCACATGAAGATGTAAAGCACAATGACAACCCTGGCAATAACCCCTAACGACAGATTCCCTGTAATATTCATATACTATTCATGTAGGGGCTTATAGTGTGTCTGGCAAGCAGTAATGACCTCATCAAAGCATACTTTATGGTATGTCTTCCTCCTGTATAATATTCCTATACTGTAGATCCCTGCAGGATGAATGGTTATAGTGTTGCTTTATAGCATTGTATTTTCCCAAGAGGAAATCTGACAGGAGCCACTTGATTTCTTATTTATGATGAAGATCAACTGAAGGGGTAGTTAATTTTTTCTAAATAAAATAAAACTGATTTGATTGTAATATTCTTTGTAGCAGACTTTATCCAAATCAAATAAAAATGTGCTTTGTGTGACTCGAGCATATTTCATAATTTAAGGTTTGTAGCCATTGATGTTAAAAAATGTATATCTAAAATCCATGTTGCCAGTCGATATTCAGTGAATAGCCTTCAACATGCAGGCCGAGGTTATCCTATAGAATAATTAGTTGCATTTGGTTCAGTATAGCTGATGTAATTAGGCTGCCGTGCAGTATTGAAGTCAATGTGAATTACTGTGTTTTTAATGGGGAAACTGATTTAAAAACATGTTTCACATTATGTCAGTTCAGTTTGCATTTGAACCAGTTTCTCCTGAAGCTCAACAGCAGAGACAGGCTGTAGTGATGATGTCATCCACACGTGGAGCTGCTCCACAGACAGTATGGGCCAGTATATGTTACTGAGACATGTTTTAGATTCACAGCAGGAAAACTGCATTCAAACTCATGTTGAAGGTGACAACAAAATAAAAAACTGTATATGTGGTTCAGAGCTTTTTAACAGAAGGCAATTTTGTTTTGCACCATGATGCTAGAGGACTCCACAGACACAGATCTTTTTAAATGTTTAAAATCAAGGAGATAATGAGATATCCTGGCGTTCAGTTTATTTCTACAAAAAACACTGGTTCCTGTTCCATGACGCATCAAACCTTCCCTTGGTAAATGCCCATCATTCAATGTCCTTTCAATGTTGTAACCCAGGCTTTATATTATATAATTTATAGAACTTTCATTCATGTAATTCAATTTTTCTGGATTTCAAAAGGGCAGGTTACTGAGACAGAAACCAAAGTTTGTGCTGCTTTCAGAAGTTTCGTTTTTTGAGAAGGTCAAAGATGATTAAAAGAATAAAGATTTACCCACACAACAATTATGCTTTGAAAGCAGAGCAGGGGGGGTAAATAATAAATATTTTAAGAATACATTAAGTAATTGTTATCCCACAAAACACTCCTCAATCCACGCGACTCATCAGCAACACTCACACACACACACACACACACACACACACACACACACACACACACACACACACACACACCACACACACACACACACACACACACACACACACACACACCACACACACACACACTGAGAGGGGGGGCAGGGTTTGTCAGCAGACCGATAATTACAATCCATAGTAAAGATGATTTACCACGACCGTCACCCGGCCCTCCCCACAGGAGGAGGTCTGGGCTGGGTCTCTCCCCGGCCGCTGATGAAATTCCGAGGACGGGGTCCCATGGGACTTCCTGTGCCGCTACATCTGCTGCCCTTGCGCACGCACAGGGGAATCGCTTCGGGCATCTCATTAAAGCCTCTCCTATGTCTTCTTATCCCCTTGCCCGTGAGACCTCTGCAGCTTCTCCCGGTGCACGGACAGGCTTTGTGAGAAACGTTTAGCAAATATTGATAGTTCTTGGCGCAGAGAGGAGATCAAAGGAAGAGGAGAAGGGGCTGTCTAAAAGGAGAGGGGGAATAATCGGTGCACAGTGCTTTCATGAATGATTTATGCTGTATAAAGTAGCCTGTCTATATCTTGGGAAAAGGGCATTCGGATTTTCTTGTGTCAGAGTTTGAGTCTTCAGGTCTGGTTTTCCCATCAAACTAGTTCCAAAAATAAGAGAATGCAAACATGTGTTTGGAATTTACAGTCTAAGTGAGTCCAGATTTGGATTTATCAGTGGTTTGATCAGTTTAACAAAGACAGCAAAAGTCCAGGAAGTGTGTCTTAAAGCAGGTTAAAAGCAGAAATATATTACTCATGTCCAGTGATAGAATGGAACTAAGTACATTTACCTAATTTGGAGATTTGTAATTAAAATGTTTGTGATAAACTGAAGGATGGAAGTGTTCCTTTACCGCTTGAAAAAATTATCCAACCTTGAAAGTAATATTAACTATCTAAAAACCTATTTGGATTATGAATGCATCGTCACAAGGCTGTTTTTTTTAACTATTTTTATTAGTATTTTTCAATATACAGAGGACAGTCAATTATACATATACGTAGCATGTAAACTTGGCCAGCACATCAAGGAAATAAGTGTTACAATCAACCCCTCCCTGATACCACTCTAACCTGTTTTCATCCAGGGTCACAGGCAGCTAACAAAAAAATAAAAATAACATGTACAGAAAAAGATACAGGAAAAGTTCATAGATACATAAATAAAAATAGGAATAATATAATAAATAACAATAAAAATAAAACTCATTATCCAGGACAATGCAGTGTATGTCAGGTTTCGGTGAGAAGAGTGTCAAACAGGGTTGTTTTTCTGAGCTCATGAAAAGTTGACTTTCTAGAGATACAGGGTTCTCACGAGACTCTGAATATGACTCATTGTTGCTTACACTATCCAACTGTATATAAAGGAGTTAAAATAAGCACAACTGTAAACAACTACAGGAGCATATTATTCAACAATGAAGCAGTAATATTAACACAAAAATATCATATGCTAATTCTTTATCTTCATTGGCCAAAAATAGACAGAATTATTCTCTTTCTAGTCTGGAAAATAAGGTGGAAAATGATAACAGATATACTAGAGTTTCAGTACTTTGGATAGCAACCATCCATGAAGACTCACGGCCTGTCATCCTTTACGGACTCAACAGAGATAAATGGTTCTTTATGGACTTGTTTTAATCAGTACCTCTGAATAGAGGCACCAGTAAAAAAGAGGAAAGACGAATGTTACTGCAGCAGCAGAGCTGTTAAAAATGTCTATGTTTGCCAGCAAAGTTAAATGACTAAAGCCTGATGACTTTTACAGTCCCCCAAACTCCTGGACTGCAGTTGGTAATGAAACACAAGAGGCCAAAATGAGAGTAAAAGACAGAGCAAGACAGTAAAGAAACAGAGAACCAGAGGAAATCACACAGTTGCTTTTACATAAAGGCCTTGAGAGTCGTTTTCCTTTTTAAAGATCCATTCGAAGGCAGCATTTTCCCAAACTGGCAGCATTTGTCTGACTGGTCAAGTGGTCCTAAACATTTCACAATTTTTGTAAAGAACTGTTGAACTGTTGAGAACCACTTAATCAGAGGGACCACAAGCTTCCTCAGGGAAAAGTCTGTCCTTCAACTGTTGTCTCCACTAGAATAAAAACAAACAGAAGACAGAATTAGTTTCCTGAAATGATCTGTTGGTAGTGAACACATCACTATGTCGGATTTGAAACAAGTCCCTGAAGAAATATACAGATATGAGTAGTAAAATCTGTGCTTACCTGGGGAAGGTGAGCTCTGTCCTCGTGGTGTTGTTTCCTAGGTGCCATCCCAGCCCAGACTGAATCACTGCAGAGTCTCTGCTCTTTATATTGTGTTTTGGGCCAGGTTCATACAAGTCTCTCATTCAGCGAGGAATGAGGCCCAGGCTGGTCTGACCGGCTGAGCTGGGTTCCAGCAATGAGCACGGCGGGGTAGCCGCCCTGAAGACTGAGATAGCAAATACCAGCCACTGCAGTCACATGGGCGTATGGAATTTGTAATGTCATCTTTGTCTTCTTAGTTTCTCTCATTTCTTGTTGATTTATCTCACACTCAGACAGTGAGAGTTCACAGAAAGCTCTACATTTGGGTTTGATGTAGAATCAGTTCTAAACGCCCAATGCAGTCACAATGAATCCAATTATTATTCAGAACACATCTCTTTAGAGAACACAAAGGGACTCTGTACACGAAGAAAAAATACCTTTAACAATTGGTTGGACGCGTGCTAATTTTAACAGAAACCATGTCAAATTGGAGATTGCTCAGGATTCTTTAGCCAGAAGCAATTTATGCAGTTTCATGTGAGTTTCAGTTTCAGTAGCAATCACAGGAGACATGACTTTGATACAAGAGATTTATTTGTTGCTTTTCTTTTCTTTTTTTTTTACACAGAAGGAAGAAGACCATCCTTTACACTCTTTGTAAATACAACATCGGGACAATCACATTAATCACAGAAAATTCTCTTTTTAAAGCAAACTAAAGTAGCGACACCATTTACACATTACAGAACAAAGATAAGGAAAGAAAAGTTATTTTGTTGTGATCTTTGACGCAAAGTAAAAGAAAATACAGAAACTGGGAACTGGGAGTCTTTATCTGGCTCAAACAAGTCTAAATTTCCCCCAGTCCATCTCAGAGTGAGATGTGCCACTCTTCAAGCTCGGTAATCAGTGCAGCAAACAGGCCGGATGAGTCGGAGAGGTGACTGCAGGTTTTGGTTGTACCTGTTTTAGCAACAGGAAATGGAAAGGGCAGTGGACAAGAGCTACAGTTGAATAACGTCCCAGATGCAATAAAGACAACATTATTTTCACGAGTTAACATGATACTCTCTAGCATCTCACTGTAAAAATACCCATACAAATACAATCTGTGATGTACCCTATAGTTTCAGATATTTTTAATATATTGCTACAGCAACACACACAACTTTGTAAAGTACTGTTACAGCAGTCAGAGTTCTTTAACTCTTTTAGTACATATTAGGGATGGGAACGATTAATCGAATATTAGAAATTATTCAGGTATTCGAATATGAGTCATGAATATTTGGGAGGGGTGCCTAAGTTGATTACATATTATCAAATGGAATAATTCAATGTATACGACAGTGCCATAGCTAAATGTGTTAGGTCTAAAGGTGTGTTTTGCTCCGCTCACGGTCCCTCACAGCGGGCAGAGCTGCAGGTGCTGATCTCTCTGTCTCGCGTCCGGTAACTTCACTCGCGTTTATGTCCAAATCCATCAGATCTAGCTAGTTCTAATGATATGGCTGCTGCCCCTCCCTATACGCAGATCACGCAGACTCAAACCTCATAATATATATATATATTATAAAAATATATACATTTCGGTTAACCGTTTTTTTGGGGGTCGAATATACATTTGCTTTTAAATTCTCATCCCTACTACATATACAAATGTATTTAACAACCATCCTCCATTGAAGGAGTAAAGGGAGGTTATAGCACTCTCCATGCTAAAAACGGGTGAATTTCACAATTATCCCTGATTGAACATTCACATTCAGGATGATAATGTTTCTCCTTATACATACATACATATACTACTGTGCAACAATCAAACGTATACATAGTGTTGCCCTAAATAATGTTGTGCTGGCTTGGAGTTTGGAGGGAAACATAAGTAATGGCTTTAAAAAAAGTCAAATCTAAACATTCGAAGTGAGAGCAACTCTGAAACTCAATAGGACGGTGTGTAGAGGACGGCTTGGGAGAAGAGGATACACATTGAGGAAGATTCCGGCTGGTGGAGGCAGCGTCAGCTCACTGTCCTGTCGGGGCGGCGATGAACTCGATCCCTTCGCTCTGCACGGAAACAACAAGAGACAGGATTAACAGGCAGCGCTGGAGAGGGGAGGGGTGTTTCAGTGCTCTTGACTACTAGTACACCACACACACACACACACACACACACACACACACACACACACACACACAACACACACACACACCACACACACACAACACACACACACACACACACACACACACACACACCACACACACACACACACACACACACACACCCACACACACACACACACACACACACACACACACACACACACACACACACACACACACACACACACACACACACACACACACACACACACACACACACACACACACACACACACCACACACACACACACAATCACACACACACACACACACACACACACACACACACACACACTATTGTAAAGCAGGCTACACAGGTTCAGCATTCACAGGCAGCAGAGGAAGTCAGATTTTATGTAGATTGCTGAAGAAGCAGAGAGGTCTGAGACATGCTTAGCCTAAATGTTGCTTCTCAAAACCAGGGCTGCAACTAACAATTCTTTTAATTAAGGTTTATTGTTGTGTTTTTCAATTTAAAGAATCTAATATGTATCCATTAAAAATCATAAAGTATAGAAAAAGGGTCACAATCTCACAGGACTGGATTTATGATGGTATAAAAAAAAGGGGAAAAACAGAAATTACTCACAAAATAAATGTTTCATTTATCATGGAAAGATAGTTTGATTCAACTAACCTATGAACCACTTTATTCCGTTTTTAGAAATGTATTTGCAAAAACAATTACCAGTTTTCCGCTAACTCTTTATCAGACCATAGGCCGTTGGTGGTTAGCACTGTTGCTTGTCCCTTGTTTTGAACACCAGCAGAAACAACGGAGACCTTTTTGTGAAGTGTTTGACTCTGCCTCGTGTACAATGCATGCTGGGATACACAAGGCAAAACTCTGGGCAGGATAATCAGTTATAATATGGATGAATGGACGGTTGATATTACAGTAGAGATGCACCGATTGCAATTTTCTTAGCCGTTTCCAATTTCTTAAAAAGTCTGACTCGCCATTTCTCTTTGTAGAACTAAAATTGATATACTTAAATTGCAAATTCATACATATTGGAGAAGAGTCATGGAAAACGTTATGGAATACTCTGAATGTAGGCCTACAGAGCAAAACATAAGTGAAAATAAGCTCGGCACAGAAATGTAAATCAAGCTGATAGTTCGATGCATCTCTGAAAATAATATCATAGCAATAGTAATAACAATAATAGGCACAAGGGTATGAATGGGTTTTCATGCTCAATATGGGATATGCACAAACTGGGAAACACACATACAGTATATCTTATTTACATCATCATCATCATCATCTTCACCAATTACTGTCTGAAATTACACAAAACAAACATGTAATCAATCTGAGAGTTACATTGGTGTGAAAGTAGGTGATTATGTGGGTGTTTGACAGATGTAGAAAATGAAGCATGGAGGTTTGAAGAAGCTAAAATGAGGGATACCTTATTTTTGAGTTGGTGTAAAAAGGCCACCATTTCCAACAGGCCAGCAGCCTCAGCCTGTGAGAGGTGAAAACATGAGCATAATGAATAAGATGGGGTTTCACTTTATGAACTGTGTTATTAAAGTATTCCACTTCATATCACACCCACCATTATAATTGCTGACTGCCCGTTGTAGCCTGGTTGATTCAGATCGGCTCCGGCAAGGCTCCAGATTTCCAGGCCCTCCATGTCCCCGCTGACTGCCAGGCTGACACAGGACATGACATGAGTTATCACAGCAAAGGGTTCTGTTTACCAAATTAAGAACTAAAAACAATCAAAAAGCCACTGGGGTGAAGAACAAGTTGCTGTGTAAAGAGACTATTCTGGAACTTGGCCAGCACATCAAGGCAATCAATTAATAATGCTGAACTTCTTGACTTATCGTTTTGTTTTAATAGCTAGCAAGCCATGCTGATCATAATTCAACTTAAGGTGTGTTTCTGAAACTGTAAATTGGATCTCTCTTGACAAAACCTGTTGGGTGTCTCAGTGAGATGAATAACAGGAGCATACGGTGTGTAGTTCTATTGAGACACAGAACAGATCTGAAGCTATGCAGCCGGGGAGCATTCCTACAGTTTGTGCAACAGTGGGACAACTGGTTGAACCTGTGTCAGCTATGTAGGATGGTCACTGCGATGATGGCTGATCAACAGAGAATTTGTGCCTGTTTATGTGTGCAATTGTTTCAAGACGTGCTTTGTGTGTCTCACCTGCACAGTTCATTTCCTGCTTCCTCCAACTTGTCTCTGGAGAAGTGTGCTCCGGTCTTTCTCAGCAGCTTCACCACCTCCTTGTGCCTAAGTTAGTGAGAAGACATGCGAAAGAGTTATATTCTTGATTCTCTATATGTGATATATTATCATTCAGTTAAAACCAGCATATACTGAAATCATAACCTCTTAAATGCTGTTAAGAAAGTCAAAGTCAGGAAACAATATAAAAGGAGAGTAAAGGACTAAAGGAGAGTTGATAGCGAGTTGATAAAAGTAACATATGAGAAACAGACCATATCTCTAAGACTTCCTACTGATACAGTTTACAAGTATTTAGAAGTGGATATTTAGAAGAATTGGGCGGGATGAAACCCTCTTTAAAATGGTCACACATGCAGAGCACACAGCACACACAGTAGGTGTTTCTCAATGTCGAGGAAAGCTGCTCCAGAGCCACTATTTCAAGGATGCTACGTCATCGAGTGCCGCCGAAGGACTGTTCCAATGTCCAGGATACTTGGAATTCTACCGAGGTCGGCGTACTTCGTTGCAGGACATTTCGAGGCTGCACATGTGTAGACTCCGCGGTCTTAAAATCCCCACAATGCTTTGTGCACGGACCAATTTCCCAAATCTTTGGCGGAAAATGTAAGGCGGGGCCTCTCATATGACGCACACTTGCACACTTGCTAGCCTGTTCCATTCTTTGTTTTCCGAGGCTAGGAGGTATTCTTGCCTCGCTTCTGAAGGAACTCACTCGGTGCTACCAAGCAAGCCTCCTCGACATTGAGAAACACCCAGTGAAATTTGAAATGTGTTCTCTGCTTTTAACCCATCCTAGTTCCAGGAGTCTAGTACCAGGAGTCTAGTACCAGGAGTCTAGTACCAGGAGTCTAGTACCAGGAGAAGTGGGCAGCTATTGTACAGCGCCCGGTGAGCAATGGGAGTCCGGTGCCTTTCTCAAGGGCACCACGGCAGGGCCCAGGAGGTGAACTGGGACCTCTCCAAGTAGCAGTCCACACTCCATATTTTAGGTCTGGTCGGGGACTTGAACCGGCGACCCTACAGCTCCCAGTCCAAGCCCCTACTGACTGAGCCACTGCCGGACATCACATAGATGTAAAGAAAACCACTTGTGTTTTACTCCCCAACATACATTCCGTGATTTATCTGCTTACACATTGTAAGCATTGGACTAAATAGTTAAATAAATAAAAAGGAAATACTTGGAAAAGTGAGATTTTTTTCTCTTTATGGGTTTCCAAGTATTATTAAAAGTATCATTATTTTCTAATTTATCTTCCAATTGTCTACACTCAGTTTGTTAGTGTATTGGCAAGAAACATGTCATAATGCAATAGGTAGTTTTAACTCCCTTTAGGAAGACTAGATGTACCGTCTTTGACAGAGCCGTTGGCAGCGATTGTAGTTTGGCATGTAAAAACAAGTTCCTTAGCCCGTGCATGAACACCCACGCAGGAGTCACCTGCAGTGACACTTGTGGTGACAGGAAACTTTCATTACGACAAAGAGACTTTAAATAGGTTTCTGACTTGCTACAACATTAGTTAACCTGCAGTTGAAATGAATGCTAAAGTGTTTTAAAAAGGTCTCCATAGGCACAGTCACTTAAAGAACTAAAAAGTTGTTTTTTAAAAACATCCTGTAGAGATCGTAAAGAAGCCAGTATCTCTCATCTGTGAAACTGGGAACAGGTTGGTGGAACTGGTTTAGGGGACACTCCCCATATTTGTTCTTTCACCCTTTTTTTGTATGCTTTCCGCCACTCCTTATATGGGCATTGTGCTGTGGTGCACTGTCTGTGACATTCAAAGTGTATCAGACATGGTGTCAACCTTATGGCTCAAACTCAAAACTCCAGTTCTATGACTTACTGTCTTTTCATGATATAAATGTAGACAGGGCAAAGCAAGCAGAGGTGTGTAGCATCGGAAGTGTAACGACAGGTGTCGACGCTCCGATGCATCCCTCCACCATCACAAAGGAAACAAGTCCACACTTGCAGTACCAACCGTTAAAATAGGACAACAGCCATTTGGCTCAGCTTAGGCAAATACAACGATTTCACCCTGAGGCTTACACTATAAGCGGCTTTCCCCTGATAGACATTCAGAGCAATGTCAACGAATGACATGGAGAAAAAATAAATAACTTTGGTAAAAATAAACAGCGTCTTAGCTGACAACTAGCCTAATTAGTTTATAATTATTGTTTGGCCTCTAAACTCCATTAGAGTTGTTCCCTAACCACCCCCCCCCCCCCCACGACAGCCGCAGCTCCCTTTCTGTCATTTACTCAGAGCCAGAGTCCCTACCTAGCAGCAGCTCATTTAATCAACTCGCTTCTTTAGCAGCAATTAACAACATATTTTAAACATAAGAATACTCAAATGGCTGCTTATGGACAAAGGGGAATTTTAAATGTGTTTGCAATTTCATGGATTCCATTACTACTTAGAAAAACAGCCCTTATTGTTCAAAATGAGGCGAGCCGTACCTGAAGCGCACAGCGTTGCATAGGGGTGTGTCGCCGTAGCGATCTTTAGCATAGACTGTAGCTCCATGACTCAGTAGGTACTTCACCACTTTCAGGTGGCCCTCACAGGCGGCAACATGCAGCGGCGTGCGTCCATCATAGTCGTCCAGAAACAAGTTACTGCCCTGTGCGAGAGACAAACATAAAGAGAATGTTAACATACTTCACCTGGTGATTAAAGGTCAAGGATAGTAATTAGTTTATTTAATATGGACATCACAATAGCATTATTATGCATGCACGAGGACTAGATGGCCTGTGTTAATTGTTTCAAGCAAAACTCTCAAACTAAACTTTTAAAATGGCTTTTAAAAGAACTCTACAAATCCATAGGTCTACACCAGGGGTGCCCAAACTTTTTTGAACCGAGAGCTACTTTTAAAGTTGCCAGTCTGCCGAGATCTACCAGTCCAAATAGAGAGGCGTAGGCATTACTGACAGCCTGCTACCAGGTAAATACACACTTCTACTTGTATAAAACTGACCTTTGTACGATGAATACTTCATAAAATACTGCAGATCCTTTATCTTACCTCTTTCTAATCTACACACATACAAGTATTTAACTGAAGTTACACAACAGTGTTGTTGATACAGAGTTGGAGTTTATTCACACGTCACTACAGTGGGTAATGTTTTCAAGAAACATTGAACAGTGCTGCCACATATGACACAGGACAAAAAGAAAACACTCACACTCACACTTTCTTTGCCATTATATAAAAATAGTGTTGCTACAAAAGTATACATTCGGCTTACTAATAAGACAACTCAGATCTGAAGCTACACAGGAATCTGCTGCCAAAGTGCAATAAAAAAGACAAAATTAATAGAATCAAACAATTTTTTTGTTGAATATAAAAAGAAATGCCTTTAAAAAAATAGGATGCACGCAACACTAGTTTCTTAACCTGAATTGATAATAGACTATAATCAATTTAAACAGAACAGATCTTAAAGTTTGCAGTCTTATACCATTTTGTACAATAATTATAATCAATAAGTTCAAACAAACTAAAACTTACAGCTGATTAATAACGGTATCTAAATTGAGTTTTTATTATATCAAAAAGCGCGTCGGCAGCCTCCAGGAATGCTTCTTTCACAACTTCGCCTTCTTTGAAAGACTTCATGTGTTTCGCAAGAACGTGACTGATGCGATAAGATGCTATGGTAGCAGCCTTGCTCTTGTTGTTGGGCCTGGTGAAAATGGACTGCTGTGCATTTAGCTGTCCTTTCAGGCCCCTACCCTTTTGGAGCGTAGGGCAGAATTAGGAGGGAATTCCGTCTCGTAGCGTTTGTGCACTGTTTTGAAATGCCGCTCCTAAATTACCCTTCTTCGATAAAGCCACGCTCGCATTGCAGATGAGACAGATGGACTTTGAATTGGAATAGATACAAAAATAATCATCCTTCCACTCGGAGTGAAAATGATATATTTTTGGCTTTTTTGCTTCTGCCATAATTGCGGTCTTGTGTGTGTGCGGACTGTCACTCCTGTTGACACGGTCGGACAACAACGTCAGCGAAATAGTGCCCACTGCCCACCAGCCACACCCCGACACATGGGGTCACGCCGGCCAATCACAAAGCTTTGATGCGTTCAAGTGCATTATTCTGGCACAGGAACATTATGTTAAAGGACATTAACGATAAAACAGAATGTTGTTGTTCTATTTTTAGACACATCTCGCGATCGACTGGTTTCTACAGGGGTGTGGGAAATGTGTTTTTTCTCTTTTTGCCATGGTTAAATATTTATTTTAATAACATTAAAATTGTGTTGCACTCTTAAATAAGATGTTTGATTTGTTGGTGATCTAAATGTTTCTTATTAACACAGATCACTGTTCCTTTATAATAATGACCATGAACACTGTAATTTACAATTAATATATGTACAAATATTACGAGACATACTAACACATTGCTGCTTTTAATGGAATGGTTGACAATGTAGAATATGACCAGTCTTATAACTTTAATTATCAGGGCGACTTTTTAAACCCCCTTTACTGTTCAGCAGCACATGAGAACAAAGGGAAACAAACCCTAAGGAGTATTATGATGAATGAAAAAAAAAAAACATATGTAAAAAGCTCATCAAAAGCAGGGACATTTTTTATTATAAAAGGATTTGAGAGGTGTGAACATAGCATAATCACATTTGAAAAGTGTCTTTAAAAACATCACGCTTATTCCATCGCAACTGCATACAAGTCAGCCACATACACCGAGGAACACGTGGCGCTGGGGCGGCTCTGGACCTGCCTTACCAGTCGGGCCTCATGTTTTGTTCTGCTTGGCGCCTGTTTATTTCTCTGAACCCTCTAACACAGGAATAGTGACCCTGGATTTTTGTTGTTGAACCATCAGTGTGAAAGGTTCACTTGTGTGCGTTGACCCTACTAAACAAATATAATCCAGACAAGGCTGGTAAATGCTGCTCTATTGGCAGAAGAGTTGAGTGCGTTGCTGTGTTTAGAGTCTCATAGCCCGATACAGGTGGATATATTGATATTGATGATGACAGCACAGGGCATTTCCCTATACACTGCGTTTATGAAATAGTTATTAAATATATTATTTTGTTATCAACTTTATTATTGGTTAACATTGATAACAACAACATGTGCAAACACATACACAAAAGTAACCCCCTTTACCACCCCTAATGGCACCAAAACACACATTACAATTGGCCTTCATAGATCAAAATTGAGAATAAAAAATATATATATATATATATATATATATGGTGACTCATTGGCTTCCTCTGGGCGACCAGGCTATGACCTATTGTTTTGAAGATGAGAACTTCCACTTTGTCAATAAGGGTTTCCATTTTTTTGCAAACAAGTGCAAACAGTTGATCCTTATCAACCGTAGTGAAGTTTGTAGTGTTGCCTACCATTTCCTTTAGGGCTTCCAAGGCTTCAATGTCTCCGATCTTAGCAGCAGCACATGCCAGAGGGGGGGTCAGGGCATCACGGATGGCTTCCAGCTCCTGAACACACCACAGACTCCATCAGAAAAACTGCAACTTGACCGATGTGTAAAAATGAATCAACTTTGGCTTTTAAAGGTTTCTAAAAATTCATAATCATTGCCTCGATTTCTATGTGGGTTGAAGGTTTTTTTGTCAAATTATGCAAAAAGGAAAACAATGTTTTGTTAATAATAATCCTAATGGCTATTTTTTGGGTGAAGTGATAGTAATATACTGTAGTAGTCACACTGCTTAGGTCTGTGTATAGCCTTACCTCCTTGCAGCTGATGCTCAGGGACTTGGCGATGACCTGGATGAAGCGGCTATCGCTCAGACAAAGCTTGGCTCCTGCTAAGTTACCGCTCATCTCACCTCGCAGGTTCCGAGCCATCATCTGCACAGGGTAACACAAAACACCCCTTATGATTATTATTGTAATCTACATGGTGATCCAATTTTGAATGTAGGCACCAACCTTTTTCTTAGCATCAAGAGTTATATCTTTTTTGGCCAAAACGTAGGACAGCTTTGACAGGGCCGCCTCTGGAGTCATGTCCCCTCCAGCTATCAGCCCTGCATCCATCAACACCTGAGAATCCAAAGGTACATATGATGTGATTGATTCCTTCAACTGGACAGTCTCCTTGTTTTCTATGTGGGAAATTAATGACTCAGAAAATGTAGTAAAAACTTGAAATGCACTGATCAACCGACCGGTGATCGTAACAGTTTGATTTCCTGCTTGACTGGCCTTGACGGTGACTGGGTGATAAGCCTGGGGTTTGGAAATTCTATGCAGGCGAAATTCACACGCATGCATGAACATGCAATTTCCTAATACAAAATGTTTGAGTATGCTGTCAATTATTGTTCTTATAAAGAAAAAACATTGGAATAAGGCAGGTAAGACTTTAGAGAGAAATTAAATGTGTGGTTTGAAATGTGTGGTCAGGCGACTTGCCTTGCCGGTGGCGTAAGACGCGGACACAGTCCCCCTCAGACACTGGGTGCAGTTGATGATGATGACTCCATCGTTGGTGGCCTTCTTCAGCACGGCCAGCAGGCGAGGACGGTTGTCGGGGGCATTTCCGCTGCCGTACGTCTCCAGGACCACACCCTCCATGGGCGGCTGCAGGAAAGCTTTCACCTGGACACAGACATATAAAGGATTCCAATTACAAACCCCAAAGATGTATTGATTACTGAACTGGCTTCTCAGCTGTGTAGAATCAAATTGGGAAATTAGTATTCCATGTTATCTTTCCTGCAGCTACTTTCACTCCTAAAAGCCCATCTGGTGCCTCCTATGCAACCAGTATCTCAGTCGCTGGTTGGCTGGCACCAGGAGGCCCTACACCACATCATTAGCCATGGCATATGACTAGAATTGCTGATGACTGAAATGGCAGGAAGGAGAGCAATTAATCTGAAGGTGTTAGCAAGCATAAACTCACTTGGCAAGACCAAAGCAGTTACCATAAACTGTAAGAAGAATGTGACATTAAATGTGCCAGGCTCGGTCAGTATTTTTTGATGTGATAGCAGTTTGACAGAAATGTTTTGATGCAGATTACCAATGAAGCTCTCGAAGAGCAGAGACAGCGGGCGCATGAGAGCCCGGTGTCTAATCAAAACAGTGCCTCATAAAGGCAGTTAAAGGCTGTAAGGAAATCTTGATAGCCAAGCTGGGCAGCGAGAGCAGATTGAGATAGTAAAGTCACTCTCCCAGCAGCCTCTGCAGGGGGAGGTGCAGCTAAATGTTACAGTATCTAGCCCAATCCTCCCTCTTTACAGGGTGATTGGTCATGGCCCATAACTCCTTCTCATCTTTCTCTGGGCTGAGCTTTGATGGCAGTTTACATGACCGGGAAGGTAACGGAAGACGGGTAATAGCATAATTAAATTAAAGTTAACTATTTTATTGCAGGTAGACAAAACAGCAGTTTTGAGCAGTCAGTTACCTCTGAAGAGCATATATTTTATTACATGTTAATATTGTATGAAGAAAAACTTTGTAATATGCAACCGCAACAATATTTGTATTTACTCTTTGTACAATTTGACTAAATATAATCTGGTGTTGATTTTAAGGCATTTCTTACTAAAAGATAATGAAAATACATCAGATTACACTCTTAAAAGGTCACCTATCATGCTATTTTTAATGTATTAGCATAGGTCTCAGATATAAAAAACAGTTCTATGAAGTGTTTTGCTCAAAATACCAAACAGATCACCCATTCTACCCATGCCTCATATCCCTCTATTTCACTTCCTATTTCAAAAGTGCTAATTTTGGATATAAAGGTTTAAAAAAAAAAGGAAATTGATAAAAAAAAGAGGGGCGGAGATTATGCCTGCTCAAGCGGGAGATTCTACCGGCAGATACTGCCATAACGAAACGCCATATCATGGATTATCAAGGATTATTTCTGAAACAGTATGGAGCTCAAAGGCTTTCTCTCTTGCTGGTTATACCACAAGGTGAGTTCCTTTTTATTTCCTGCTTCTTCACATACATGCTCCCTGCCGTATAGGTTAGCTCTCAGTGTTAGCAATGCTAATGTAAACAACGTCCATATTACGTCCAAAACAGTCGGGCATTGTTTCTGATAGCAACGTTTCTGATACAGGGTTCCTGCAGGTTTCACCAACTCAAATTTAAGATTTTTTTAAGACCACTTTGAATAGAATTTAAGACCTATTTCACGGCAAGAAAGTATGAAGGAAAATTGCTATGAAAGAAGAAATACGTCCCATAATTACTTTCAAAGTAAATGTATTCACGTTCAACATAAGAACGATGACTGAACATAACAGCACACAGAACTGAGTTAGCTAAAAACCAGGACAAAAATAACTGCCTAACCGTGAAAGTGTGTGTGTGTGTGTATATGTTGGTGTTTAGCTAAGGTATTTAGCGTCCACAGCACCTCCACTTTTAGGGTTGACGTAGACCCAAACGTCGTCCAGAGGCAGTGGTCGCGTTAACCGAATATTTTCCGTCTATGACGATTTGTTTTTAACAATGACGGAAAAATCTGAAAGCAGTCTGTCATTTTGACAGATTAGAACAAACTCAGAACAGCGCAAAAGTTTCCCCGCAGCGAGGCTCCGGTGTTATGCATGCAGGGGCGGATCTACCGGGGTGGCAACTGCCACCCTAAACAATAGCCTTGCCACCCCAGCTGCCACCCCAGTTGGCATCTTTGTTTTGAAAGAAAAGTTGTGGCTCATCGGACATTTATGAGAGAAAGTCTCTAATGTCCGAGTGCAAGTGAATGCAGCACAATATGCACGTCATGTAACTCCTCCCCCGGTCCTGGCGCGAGAGTGGAAATATGATTGGTGGCGAATTCACTTGAACGGGGGGACGGCGCAAAACGAGAAGCCTTTCGGACCCAAGCACTGAAGGAATGAGGTATTTGCGGTCTACAATGACAGAGAAGAGAATGTCAAGTTTGGCTGTACTCAGCATTGAATCAAAACGCACTACAGCTGTTGATCTTAATACGTTTGTGAGGCGTTTTGCTGAACAAAATAGTAATCGCCGCATTCAGCTGTAATAGACATGCCAACTTGATGCTCTGCTCACGGATGACTCGATGAGAATAACAAACTGTTAAGATGATGACCTTGTATGCGTGTATATATTTGTTTTTCTTTGAGGGGGTCTGCCACCAAAAAACAGTTTTAAGTCCTGAGAAAGTAAAATAAGACGGTGTGTAAAACTACACTGCCCAGCCAACAGAAAGTAACCACTTTGATTTAACTAGGCCAGTAGGTAAGGACCTTCCACTGGATAATAACTGCAGCGATGTTTTAGCTGAATACACGTTTTTTAACCCTAACTGATGCAGTTAGTCACTTCTTTAATGTTTGTTCTTTCTGATGTAAAGTCAAGGTTGTAACTGTATATCAATAATGATATAATTACTTGTTTTTCAAATTTGAAGGAGGGTGAGCAAGCATCTTGATGAACATTCATCATTAACTCCTCCAAAAAATATAGTTTATTCAATAATAAATGAATATGTGATTCATAACAGTTCTTCACTATATCTGTAAAGCGTCTTTGAGCACCTGTAAAAACACTAACAAATTAAATCTATTATTATTATTATTATTTATTAACAGTGATTGACAGCTGATAGGAATAATATGATTGTTAATAGTATCATATTCATTCAGACAAACATCAATGAGACAGTTAATTAATGTACTTATTGCAGCAGTCTGCATAGATTTGGTACCCCTACTGGTCTAAGAGTGAAACAAACTCATTCAGTTATTGTTCAGTTAAAATGCATTAAATTACATCTGCCACCTTGTAAGGCTTTACTGATGTGCCACAATAATATCACCTATGTGATTGAGTTAAAATATTAATATTGTGGCTTTCCAAGTTAACATTGATTGTAGGGGTGTAACGGTTCACAAACATTTCGGTTCGGTACATACCTCAGTTTTTAGGTCACGGTTCGGTTCGGTACGTTTTCGGTATAGCAGAAAAAATTATCACAAAACATTAAATATTTTTTTTAAATTATTATTAAACTGTGACTAATGTATTCAAATAAATACAAAATATAGTAAAATAAACATTAAGGTGCAGCATTTCGATGAACTGAAATAATCTGTATTTGAACTGTACTAGTACCTAAGCAGCCAGCTTGACATTAGGACTTGCTTGTCATTGTATTTTCATGTTGTTTAAAGAAAGATGAACTTGTCCACATTGCTTGCTGAAAGGGCAGATCTGCTGGCAATAACAATGTCTCCTGCTGTGGATAACACCCTCTCTATGGACAGAGGTAGCAGATACAGCCAGGTAGCGCTTTGCTAACATGGCAACATAAGGATATTTGGCGTTTGTAATAGCTTTGGCTCGGTCTGAACTCTTTGCGAGTGGTGGAGGCTTAAATGCTAGTGGGAGTTGGGTTTGCACTTCAGTCTTTTTTCTTTTGGTACCGGTGATATTCACATTCGGGTGATGCCTTTTCAAATGAGTGTGATGTATTGCCAGCCGCGTAACCAATGTTAGTTGAACAATGCCGACAAACAGCTTTGGTTCGGTCCACCTGTCTTTGTCCTTCATCCTTGTACGTAACTGCGAAATCAAAATGTTCCCAAACCGGAGACTTCAATGATGCTGGAGGATTTTCAGCTCAACTTTATCTGCGTTCGCCATTTCGACAGTTCCTCAAATTACTGACTACATTTGAACGCATCCCTGTGACCAGCTCTCATAGTATGCCTCTCGTCCAATGAAATGACTTGGTCGCTCTATGATATAGATTACTTCCAGAAAGTTGTTCATGTTCTCAATTTTTTACGTTTAACGCTATATTTGTTCGGTACACACGTGTACCGAACCGAAGGGCCCGTACCGAATAATTTCAGTACGGGTACGTGTACCGTTACACCCCTAATTGATTGATATGATTGCGATTTAAATCAGCATATACTTCTGTCAGGGGATGCCACCCCTCAAAATCTCCTGCCACCCTCTTGCCACCCCATGAATATTTGTCTAGATCCGCCCCTGTATGCATGCCCTCCAAAAAGGAAATGATATCGTTTCCAAACCGTACAAATCATTGAAATGTCTGGGAGTTTTTGCTTTACGCTGTGCGCGCTCCCACGAGGTGAATGCATCTCTCGGCGGGCATGCATAACACCGGCGCAACGGTTCACGAGCGTGCTCTCGCTAGCTGGAGCTTGGTTGCTAGGTTACTAGCTGGGTGTTCTCCGATAAGGGGCCTGGGGGGTGCAAAGTTAGTGATTACTGGTTCCATGTTGATTTATTTCAATACAAATTGTTGGGGGGAACTGAAAGGCTACTGGTTACTTTGCAGCACGGACATTTCCCCCAAAACACATTTAGACGTGATCGCAACACAGAAGTAGCCTACCTTTCAAATCCAATCCTTTTTAAAATCATATTTAAGACCTTTCTAATTTTTTGGATCATATTTAAGACTTTTTAAGGACTTAAATTATGATTATCAAATGTGAGACTTTTTAAGACCCCGCGGGAACCCTGTGATAGTGCTGTGGGTCTGCTTTGCCGATATGACATCATATCGGACGCAAATCTGGATCAGCTCCGTTGTACCCCCATTTTTAGAGATTTGGGTACGGAGGAAAAGAGAGAGGGTTTTATTTTCTGAGTTCCTTGACACACCGGGGACACATATTTATGTACAACAGACATCAAAAAGTGCATTTTGCATGATAGGTCCCCTTTAAGGGTTGTTAATTTAAGTGTGCAAATAATTATATTTGAAATGATAGAGGAAACACATCAATCGATAAGCTGCTGAATGAATTCCCCTTAGAGAAAAAACCCTATTCAATTATTCGGTTGTGTGTCACATCAACCAAGGCCCAAGGTCGACGAGTAACCTCTGGACATTAGTTGGCTGTGGCAGACAGAGTACATATCTGTGGTCCAGTGCAGACACTTACAGTAGCATTAGTGATTCCTGGGAACAGCCTGAGCAGGCCCACGTTCCTGTTCATCTCAGGGCTCAAATGAAACTTTGCTGTGGTGTTTGCTCTCCACACTGTATCCCAGTTGACTGAAAACAAAGAGTAAAGACAACAGATTAAAGTGAAAAGAAGTGATTTAATGTCCACATCAGGGTGATGACAAATTCCACTACTGCCTTACTTGTGATGTCCACTTCAACACAGGCCAGAGGAGCCAAGTTAGGAGATGAGAACGCTTTGAAACTCCCAGCATCCACCTTGGTAGATCGATTCCCTCTGTAGAGGTTGTTGTAGAAATACAAGCACACCTGAATTGGGAAAGAAAATTGGTTTTATGCAGCAGGAAATAACATAAATGAACAAAACACAGAGCAAACACTTAAATCTGTTTTTAGTACGGTCCCACAATTGAGTAAAGACAAAGGGTAAAATGCTTACAGCATTTTGTACATTGATAGATAACTGTCAAGTGTTCTTTATGTATAGCCGTTGTTTCTCAGTATTGCGAAACACTGTCATTAGAAAGCATTCTCAACAGACAAGTAGTTAAAGAGAGCTTTTGTATGCTTCTGAATACAAAAGGCCTCAACACCTGCCCTTACAAATCACAGTTTTTGTTGTCAACATAAACATATAAATGAGGTCAGGTAATTTAGAATGAATGTATAAACTATATATAAACCCCACACATGTAAAATATTGCAAGAAAGAGAAGGAAAGCTCACTAAGGAGAGTGGTGATCTCCTATTAACTCTGTTTTGTCTTCCCAAACACAGCACATTTGTAATGCTCCCTCAATGAGATTGTCAAATAAATGTCTCTTTAATCATATATTATATATGGGAGTATGATTTATGTCCCCTCTTCTCACCTCAGGAATGACAAAATGGCCAGCAATCAGCAGCGCCCCCAGCAGGTTGGCTCTGCCATCATTCCTCATCTCGTAGATCGGCACCTGAAGACAGAAAGTGTATCGTCTTAAAAAAGGGCATTAAAAACGTAAAATGCTGCAGGAACTTTTTTTGTAAGGCCGTACCTGTGATCCGGTGACAATGATTGGTTTGCCTAAATGTTCACACATGAAGGACAGGGCAGAGGCAGTGTAAGCCATAGTGTCTGTGCCGTGGAGGATCACAAATCCATCGTAGTTTTCATAGTTTTCCTAAACAAGACAAAAAGACCATGTAATGTGCCGACATGAATACAATCATCATTTCCTGGAATACTATATTGTGTATTTCATAAACAATATCAATTATTTAAGGAGCCATTAATTACTAAATGTTTACAGTATAAATATATAAAATGAAAGTACCTCAATATCCCTTCCTATTTTACCCCAGTCAACTGTGGTCATATTGGAGGAGTCCAGCAGGGGTGAGTACTCCATAATAGTGTAGACTATTCTCTTTTTTTGCTCACTTAGCCTGGAAGAGAGACATTTATGAGTTGTTGTCATTACATTCACTATAAACCAAAGATTAGACATTACAAACAGTAAAAAGTTATGGTTTTTGAATTCGACGATGTGCACTGCAAAACACAAAGGGCACACGGTTAAACAAATAATTATTATCTTCACTGTGACAAATGGTTATTTGTCCTCATCCCCCCTTGTATAACAAAGTTGGATAGAGTTATTGTTAATTTTGAGAAGAGAGTTTAAAGAAAGGATAGGGAAACGCTATAAAACCAGCTGACTTTATGAAGCGAGACAAAGTCTATTTAACCGGGCCTTCTGTCTCGGCAGCAGGGTGCCAAAACCTGTTTCAGACACACACACAGAATGTGTAGTAGTGTAAAAGGGAGGGGCATGTTGGCATAATGTTAAAGAGAGCAGCACTTTGAACTTTGCAATTTCCCTTTCCACCATAAAAACCTAATGTTCTGTGGAGCTTTACTGTGTATTGTAAATACAAGCAAAGCTGAGGGACATTAAGGGGCCGATTTGACTCATCTTGAAGGTTATTTAGAAACAACATATCAGGTTAGGGCATGTTTCATTTTCATTCCAATTACAAAGGAGTGAGTCTTTCATGTATACATATTTATGTCGCCTCTAAATGGATTTCAACTGGGGTGTCTCCGGGCCCCACCTGCGACACTCCGTGTAAAGTAGCGTGACTGGCCAAACAGCCATGGAAAGATTTTATTTGTAATCTCCCTTTTAACGAAGCAGGGTGGGACAGCCCCCACAGTACCATAGGGCAGCCTTATAGCGCCAGGAAGGGAGCTGAATGGAACAGCGGGGGAACAAGAAGCGGGCCCCAGTTCACCCAACCAGGGGTCCTACAAGCCCTCTTCTAATTAGTCTTAGGTCCAAACCACGACCCTGAAACATATGTTGTTGATCATCTTGAAGTCAAAGTGCCACAAGAAACTGTGGAAGAGACTATTCAAATAACCAATTATTCATCTGGCAGTTTACCCTAAGGTGCACTACACATTAGCATACCAAGGCTAAGATGCCTTATAGCTTAAAAATAAGGAATTTCTATGTATGTGTGGATAAGAGTGGGGGCTCAAGATGTGGAAGAGAGTTGGGGGGCAAACAGCCTGGTGGCATTGCCTCTCATCAGCACATGAATAAAGGTTTTCAATAAATCAATAAACTAATTCCCTCCTTCAACATGAGCTGCATACTATCAACAGTATTATACTTGCATATAAGCCTACTTTAGTTGATCCTAATATTATTCCAACTCAAGGGTTAGCAAATATTAAAAAGTAGAACATGCTCTCACTCCAAAAAACACCTCTAATTTATGTTAACATTTTTTTTTTTTTTTTTACAAGTCTTTTTATTTCATTATAGTGTACAGTAATCGATGCCATTTCATTTATATTGTAATATTACAGTACACTCCTCGCTCCCTCCCTCCACCCGCAAAAAAATGCTTATCAATATAACTTAAACAACAGAGCCATGAAAATAAACATAAAACGAAAAAATAAATAAAAATAAACCCACATCAAAGTAAAACAAACAAATAATTATACAATTAATTATACAATACAGCAACAATATAGACAATGACAACACAACTAGTATTTCCGGCCGTCAGGAAAAATAGCCACAGAGTGCACCATTCCATCACTGGTCATATCTCAGATATATTTTCCAAATAAGAAAACAATGGCAACCACAGAGCTTGAAAGATATGTCCACGATTATATTTTTCCAATGTCATTTTCTCCAGAGGTAAGAAATGTGTTATCTGATCAATGAAAAGTTTAAATGTCGGAGGACGTTCATTCTTCCAGAGTAAACCACTCTCTGCATCTAAAGAAAGAAGCAGAGATGGCTTCTGACCGGTGTCCAAATGGTTTATAATATTCAAAAGTCTCCTTATATTATCAGAAGAATATCTTCCCTTGACAAAACCTGTTTGATCAGGACTAATTAGTTTAGGTAAAATAATTTCCAGTCGTTTTGCTAATAATTTGGTGATAATCTTATAATCATGATCCAAGATAAATGAAGAACAATTCAAGGGGTCTTTCCCATCTTTATGTAGTACAGTAATATATGCAAGATTCATTGATTGAGGAAGTGTTCTGTTGTGAGAGAAGTTGTTAACCATTGACATAAATATAGGTTGAAGTTCAGTCCAAAACTCTTTATAAAATTCTGCTGAGAAGCCATCTGGCCCTGGGCTTTTATTTATAGGCATAGATGTAATTGCAGCCAAAACTTCTACTTCTGTAATTGATGAGTTTAGATACTCTTGATCTAAATCAGATAATGTAGGTAAATTAATGTTATGGAGATAATTGTCCAGTTCATCTTGTGAGTAATCACTTTGAGATTTGTATAATTTGTTATAAAATTCATAAAAAGTCTGGTTAATCTGTTTTGGGTGGTAGGTTATCGTGTTGTCTTTCAGACGAATTGCCTTTATAGCCCTTTCTGCTTGCTGCTTCTTTAATTGATAGGAAAGTAGTTTACTTGGTTTATTGCCGAATTCATAATTATTTTGTCTGATAAGATTCATTTGTGTTATGATTTCATTTGTTAAGTCAATATTTAATGTAGCTCTGTAGCTTTTGCAGCTTCCCAAATAATATTCGGATCTATAAAGGGGTCATTGTTTTCTTTTATATAGTAAATTATCCACATTCGCATTTTTAGTCTCTAAGTAAGGAGTTATCAAATTTCCAGCGCCTGGATACCAATTCTCCACTCTCCAAGTGAATAGTTAGATAAACTCTTGCATGATCTGAAATATTAATGGAATCAATTTTACATTCTTTTACCCTATGCATGTATTTGGAGGGAATACAAAAATAATCTATTCTAGAATAAGAGTTGTGGACATTTGAAAAGAAAGTGTAATCTCTGACATCCTGATTTAGTTGACGCAATACGTCAATAAGGCCGGATTCTGCACAAAGCCCCTGAAGGACCTTTGAGGATTTAAGATTGTGGCTCTTGGACTGGTTAGATTTATCTAATGTAGGGTTAAGAGTGCAGTTAAAATCACCGCCCATCAGTCCTAATCCTTTACAATTTTCATTGAAGAGCAGCACCATGTCTGACATGAACATTGGTTCATCTATATTGGGAGCATAGATGTTTAAAAAGGTGATTGGGGTTCCAAAAATAGTACCAACAACCAAAACAAACCGACCATTTGGGTCCGTAACTAATTTTTCTAATTCGAATGGGTAAGTTTTGTTTATCACAATAGCTGTCCCTCTACTATGGGTTTTATATGATGAGAAATACACCTGACCTATCCAATCTCTTTTCAATTTAAGATGTTCAGTATCTGAGAGAAATGTTTCTTGTAAGAAGACCACATCAGCTTTGTCTTTTTTAAGAAGAGATAATACTTTTTTCCTTTTTATGTGGTTTCCCAAGCCTTTAATATTCCAAGAATAGATTTTCATGTTTTGCATGGTGACTGCTGCATATCTGTGGGATTATATTTAATACGTTGTATATTTTGGCCCCATACACAAAAGGGATTGTCACTGCTTTTATTATTTAACATTAAAACTAATGTAACACAAACGCAAAACAAAACAATATAACATCCCACCCAAACCAGGGTCTTCTGACCTTGGCAATTCATCTACCCAATTTGTTGTAGCCCAGAGAGAAACAAACGTCAGAGAAATGTACATCTCAGATCTAACGAAATGTCCTCTTTGTGTTGGCAACCAGAGATGGGGTCGTTACTAAAAAAAAGTAATATATTACATATTACTTTTTTAAAAAGTAATATATTACACTACTTCGTTACTCTCTACATAAAGTAACTCGTTACTTTACTCGCAGGGCCGGCCAGCCCCTCCCTGCAGGCAGATCACGCAGACTGCTAAAGTTTCAAATGTTCTCTTTAGTTCAGTTTCCATTGTCGCATAAGACTGATCCAGATCCTGAATGTTTTCCTATCTGACCATGGCTGTCCTCCGTCTCCTGCTATCTGTATATTTCGCGCAGTCTATCTCTGCTCACGCTGTTGCGTCGGCGTGTTCTCCTGCGTGTTGGCCATGTGTTGCACTGGAACCAGACACCGCAAAGACTTCAGCCGAGCACGTACGAACTGCGCATGCGTGAGTGGCAATAACTCTCCTTACCAGCAGGCGGCGGTAGTGTGTATTCGTCATTCAAAACAGGCAACAACCGGAAAACAGAGAAGAAGAACAGACTACGTGATATAAACAAACAACAAATAGCTGTGCGTTAGCTTCACCTTAGCATACGTGTTCTTTGCAGGTGTTTGTTGAGGTTTGATTATGACTGATTTTAGTAAGTAACGAAGTAACGCATGTCGGGGCAATGTTGGTAACTGTAGTGTGATTACTGAATTCTAAAAGTAGCGCGTTACACTACTCCGTTACCGACAAAAGTAATATTACAGTAACGCGTTACTCCCAACTCTGTTGGCAACTTGGAGCTCCCATCCTCAGTTCTCATTGAAAATAAATAAATGTCTTCATAATTTTCCTCCTTAACAGGGGACGGGTAGATAGAAATCCGCATCCCAAATGTCATCATGGTATGTTCCATCCGATCATTTACACGTCAAACAATATATTGCCATAAAAAAAACAAGACAAATCAAAAAAGAACGATCGGAGGAGTTTCCATGGTGATATCTTAACTGTCAAAATAAAAGTGGAGGAGGAAGGTTGTATTTTAAACAGAACTGTATGTTACTGTTTTGTCAGACCCCCTCCACTACCTTCTTTGTTGGTGTGGTCCGTTACGTCATTCTTTGTTGCCGGAAGCAAAGACACTGGTAAATATAACAAAATACAAATGAACCAGTTCGATCCTGGAAAATCCTCTTAATGTGTCCTTGCGAAAAACGATTTCCACACGTTTCTCCAATCCCAATGACAGTTAATTGAGAGAAGAGGAGAAAAAAATAAATAATAATTACATCTTACCTCCACTCCGGTAGGTTAGAAAAATAGCGACTTAACTTATGTTAACATTTAATACATATTATAATTAGCAAATGTTTAATATTAGTCAAACCACACAGCTGACGGTGTGTGAGCATTTAGGGTTGAATACAGTTCAACTGAAAAGGCTTTTCTACATCATTTGTATAAACCTATATCAGTATAACACTGCCTGATGTATGGATAGCTTATCTTTACCATACACCCCTATGCCGCTCTGTCGATTTTCACAGTGGCATTCAACATGAAGGGGGTATGGAAATTAGTGAGTAAGGGTAAGTGTCTGGGAGAGGTGCCCCCACTATAACTGACAATTAAGAGGCCTGTCAATGGAGGCTCCACTCCCACTGCTCCACAGCACATGCACCAGACAGGGAGACACCATGGATTAAACAAACAGTAATAGAGTAGATTAGCCTTGTGGTTCCTAGCTGCTTTTAAAGACAACACTTCTAAAAACATAAGGTTATCTCTGCCACACGCTGAAGAAGCTGTTTGTTAGTGACATTAGCAAGTGTAGAGTTAGAGAACAAAAAAATACTTCAGGCTCTGCACAGCTCTGTGTCCTTCCTGGTATTTCCTCCTATTAATAAAAAGGCATGCATTTCCTGACAGGCAAGAACACCCAAACATTTTGTCTAAAGACATCAAACCACAGTGCAGGCACAAACAATGCAACCAGTACTACAGCACCCGTGGTATTGATGGCCAGTTTGGGGCGTTGGATTCCAGTTAAAGCAACAAAAGCAGTTTAGAGATATTAAAATGAGTCATGACAGTGAGTCTTTTCCATCCAGTCCATGCTGTTTCTGCTCCTACTGTAGAAACAAAACGACTTAGGCCTGGTTTAGCACTCAATGACAATAACTTTACATTAGACATGTTTATGAGGATGACTTTAATGGGTATGTTTTAATAGCATCTATGAGAAAAGGTTCTTATACAAAAGATTTAAAGTAAAAGATATTAGACATACAATCATACTGTGAATCCTTACATCTAGGCAAGAGCATAGAAGCGTGAAGAGCAGAACATGGATTATTGTAACTTAATCAAAGTAAAGTTATAGCTATGTGCTGAATGAGTAGGGAGGAATTCTGGGTACACTTACGGCAGGACGAGGATGTTCCCAGATCCATAGTAGTCATACAAGCCGGACTGCTGGGCATAATACTCATCGTGAAGGATAGGCAACTTCCGTAGGCTCTCAAAAAAAGCATTAGCTTTTGGAGCAAGCACTGTGGGTTATAGACATTTTTAAATTATTTTTTCATAATAGTATTTCATAGGTTTCTCTAATCAAGTTTCTTCAGTATCAGCTTAGGTGAATAATACAAAGGGTTTAAAATCATCTCAACTCCAAACATTGGTCTCACACTGAACCCTAGTGGTAAATGTAAGAATTATCATTGTTGCAGGGAGCTGGAAAAATCCAATTAATATTATAGCAAACACTTAGAGGGACAATGAATAAGAAACAGTTATAGAATATACAAATTAAAAAAGTGAACAATTGTGAAACACTGGGCCCAGCACCACTGTTGCTGAATAAGAGTTGATGTTCAAGGCACTCTAAATTAAGGCTTGGACAAATGCTTCACTACTATTTAAACTGTATAGCCTAACTGGATGGTCCTCACTTACTATGCGTTGGATGCAGCATTGGTTTTTATTAATGTATAAAGCCATTAAGCTTGTAAGCTTCCACTGTACATATGTGCCAGATTTGCTCCAGTTTGTGACTCTGACAACCTCAGATCCAGTGCCTGGATACGGTTCCAGGTTCCTAAAATAATTAAATGACGGACGACACGTGGCAGCTGAGGCCACATGAGCACAAGCCCTGAAGGACGTAATGAGAGCAACGGTCAGAAATCAAGACAGAAAGACTTAGATAAGAGCAACATGAAAGGGGGAAATTGCCCAGCAATCATAACTTTCATAAAATTACAGTATTGACAAAACAACAAACAGTATTGTCAAAAAAACAAACACCATCATGAGTTAAGTTAATACTAAAAAATGTATACTGAGAGTAAAACATTGATAGGTGGCCTTGGATGAAGGAGCCTGGTTCTTGAGGCTGATAGGACCTTTGCATGTTATGTTTGCCTCACTACATGCTCCAGAGCCTGTATTACGAAGCCGGTTCAACCTAACCTGGATATGTTTGAGTTAGTCGGTTGGCCTAATCCAAAACATACGCGCTCTCGCTAAACGGTCCTACGACGCGGGTTATCAAGTGGATCGATCAAGCCAGCCGTGTCCTATCTAGTTAGGTGCGCGTTCACATGAAAAGGGGTGGTATTTGGAGCATTCGACCAATCACAAACATGGACAAGCATACTGACAGCGCAGCGTCATACTTCCTGAATGAAAAGTCAACTATAATATTAGACATGTGAAGAAGTTAAACATCCATCACTTAAACACTTTATCCAGGATAAAAGCCACATAGCTGCACCTGCAAGGTGAATACAGCTAGTAAAAGAAAAAGTGTTTGAATGCGTACATAAACAGGTTTATGATATCACTGCCCCGTCTAAGACACGAGTGGATCTGACTTTAATTACATTTGACTCAAGTGTTTCGTCAACTTAATGTGTTGCTTAAAATAATACTTCTGCATACAGTATGTGACACTTAGTATTGCACGGCCAGATACGGCTCAAGAAGCTGGCTCAGATAATAGGCCATAAGGTGAACCCTGTTATCGTTTCAACCCGCTCCACAGAAGTGAAACTACACAATCTTTAGTTCATAAAAAAGAACGAGTCATGCTTATCCACCAAAAAAAATATCGTCGCTAAAATTCCTGCCAATTCTTCTAGGCACGTAATTATTGGCTGAACTAGACCCTTCGAAGCGTAATAATGTCTTGGTCCAAAGTCGTGCCACGGTTCGTCACGTGATCGTGCTACACCAATTGGGTAGCTGCATATTGTCAACAGAAGTGAAAGATGGCGGCCGCCATGGTTACGCTAAACCAGACCAAATGGATTCTAAACAGTGCTGTATGCTTGTTTTATGTCATGTTTTGTCATATGTCTTAATACATCACTAAGTCCGAGGTATTTGCGTTATATACGCGGTATTTGAGAGAGGTTTTACTATCTGGGAACAGAGTTGACCATCGAATCAACATTGACTAGCAGCGTTTATCAGCCAACTCCAGCTACAAACAATTTCCCCACGGGGATTAATAAAGTATATCAAACTCATATTTATCAAACTATCATTCCTGGACTGCCATGTTCACATCGCTAGGTTCATTGGGATTATTCCATTAGACTGAGGACTTTTTGTCTGTCTGTTGTTACCCTGTACACGTTAAATGCACTCTTAAAATAAACATGACTTGATTTCTGCGTCCAAGAAGAAGGTTAACTTGTTACGTTAAGTAATTTAGATCAATAAAATGCAGTACTTCCAGGCTGAAGACTTTTCTTTTTGTTGCTGCTTTTAATTGAACTATTCATATCTTAGACTGCACTGTAACTTTTATCCATGTATTTTTTCTTTTAATGTTTCTTTTATTAGCTTTTCTTTTGAATGACTGATTTTAAATGCCATTTTCTTAATGTCTTTAATTTTTTGTAAAACACTTTGAATTGCCTTGTGTTGAAAAGTGCTATATAAATAAACTTGCCTTGCCTTACTTATACCAATGTCCATTGATTCATTTATTTACTCATTCATCCCTCCACAAATGAAAACAACACTGATGAACCATAAAAACGAGATTTATTACAAATATAAAAGGTATGACATAGAAAACAGTAGAAGGACATGTAATGTAGTATAATTGATTGGTGTCAGGCTGGGCGGAGCGGCTGATTGGTGCTGTGATTGCCTCAGCTGGTTAAAAGAGTCCTGCTGATTATACTCTGTTCTAGTACCAAAAACAAACGTATCTATGAGTGATGTGTGAGCGCGTCGGCCAGGCACTAAAACCAAAAGAACAGAAAAGAGCTTAAGAAAGATGGAAAGAAGGCTCTTTTATTCCTATTCCTCACTGTCAGTGTCAGGGCAGTCATCGTTCTCTTCCTCTGTTTCTTTTTTATTTGCACAATTTGAGCAACGACATAAGTCTGTGCAACAGAGTCCTGCAGAGAAGCATGAACATCTGCCTTTCTCACAGGCAGACTCTTTGCAGCTGCAGTGTATCACATGCAACACACTGTCAGGGGCAGGATTTCTTGTCATCCAGGTGACGTGTAAGTTCCCATCCTCTATTTCCCAACCATATCCAGCAGGTGATGGAGCATTCATTTCTCTTTTGAGACAGGACCTCATTATTGCTGCCTGGTAATTTGCCCTTTTGCAGTGCTGATGGAGGGCATCATGAGTAGGGGGAATGCTTAATTCTGGCAAGGCCGATGATGCCATACAGAAAGCCTTGTACCTAGCATCATTTACATGTTCGGCTGCTGGCTGATCATACAGGTGACATACATACCGGCAAAGAAGTGCAAATGTTGATTGCTCCAAGTCAAAGTTAGTACCTAAACTTCTGAAAGCCTTAAGGTAGTCATCTTTCTCACATGCAACAGCAAATGACTTTCTTTTGCCTTTGCCATAGAAAGCGCTTGTGGAGTCACACCCAGAGAACGTGTGAATTCCAATCAAGGCTGAACACACACTGGTTCCGAGAGCTGATGACACCATGGCAATGTCAATGATCCGTGTCCTGTTGCCAGTCCCTGTGAACACATATAAGCTGCATGGCAAATCTGCCTGCAGACTTACAGCAATGACTGCCACATCAGTGTCCGAGCTCTTGATGATGACAGCTTTGTGCTCCTGTGCAGCATGTTGGGCATGTAAAAACACCCGTGTGTCACATTCCTCATGATCACACTGCAGGTCTTCAACAACATCAACAGACTGTACACCCTCCATGACAGTTACACAGTGGCATTGATTTTGATGGGCAATGTACAAGCTGAGGTTTTTACCCACTGTTGTGAGGTCTGCATGTGTCCATGCCACATAAAGGAATTCGGCCAGTGCTTCCTTATTTTTTCCGTCAGAGAGAAACTTCTTCCACTGGGTTGGAGTTCTCTGATCTGGGCTGAAGATTGTTATTAGTTGTGACCCTGCATCAGCTCTACGGGACCGTTCTAGGCTTTTGATGCTGATGGGTGGATACCGGTCAGTGACAAAATCAATGCGTGTACACTTGTGATGCAAAGCAAGTTGGAGTATGCTCTGCAGTATGGTCTCTGCAAGCTCTCCAAATGTTGCTGGTCTGGATGGCATGGCCTGCATGACTGCCATGCCATCAAAAAGAATGGCACCACCTATTGGAACTTTGTCAACCAAGCACTCTCCACCTTTGCTCTGCAATAGATCCATGAGAGCTGATTTGTTTGTTTTGGCAAGTGAACCATCAGCACTTGCTAATGGATATGACACAGTTCCCAAGGAATATGACAGAATTTCCCTCATTTCAATTTTCCTGCTCTGGCCAAGGATGAGGAGCCTGGAAAATAACTTCTTGTCAGCACGCAAAATCACTTCCTTGCCTGCTGGTCAACACTTTGGTCATCTTTCTTCTCAGCAGCTTTCTGCAATTTGCCTAAACGGAAAAAAAGGACAACTCAATGAGTTTGTTGACGTATCTCTCACACATAATTGTACCTTTCAGTTATTCAACCACAGAGAATGTGTGTGTGTGTGTGTGTGGTGTGTGTGTAGTGTGTGTGTGGTGTGTGGGTGGGGGAGGGGGTTTGCTTACCTGCTTTTAATGTTTCAGCCTTACACAGTTGATCCCTTTGTCGCTTGCCTGCTTTGATGATCATTTTCTCCTTCATCTTGCATATAATGCACAGGGCAGGAAGGACGGGGCCAGAGCCTGCGATTGGCAGGCCTGACCTTGATCGTAGCTTCTCTGTTTGGCTTCGGTACGTGCTGCGAGACGTCGATGGGATGGGCTCGACCTCAAGGTCCTCCCTAACGTCTTGATCTCCCTCACGTGCGAGCCGTCTTTCCACCTTCGTCATGGCCTTTGTGTCGGTAAACCTTATGTAGCATGTGTGGTGGAAGCCAGCGTCCTCAGGAATATCTTCGAACTCGAAATCAAGACAGTGCTTGTGGTTTTCAGCCACCACGTTCCGAGAGTCTCCCTTCAAGCCGAGCGACCGTTGTAAGCTTGTCCTGTACGTATTCCATCTTGTATTGGTAAAACAATCAACCTTTTCGTGCTTCACAGACGTAATATGCATGTAACAATGTTTGTGTGTTGACAATTTTGACTTTTTGAGACTTTCTGGTGCGTTTTCCTCGTCTCCGCTACTCGATGAAACCATGGCAGCCGCCATCTTTCACTTCTGTTGACAATATGCAGCTACCCAATTGGTGTAGCACGATCACGTGATGAACCGTGGCACGACTTTGGACCAAGATATTATTACACTTCGAAGGGAATAGTTCAGCCAATAATTACGTGCCTAGAAGAATTGGCAGGAATTTTAGCGACGAAATTTTTTTTGGTGGATAAGCATGAATCGTTCTTTTTTATGAACTAAAGATTGTGTAGTTTCACTTCTGTGGAGCGGGATTTCTTTTCTAAAGGACTTTTCGAGGTTCACCTTGCGGCCTATAAGGAAATATATGATACATTATGATGTGATATGATATGAATAATACGTAATGTTACTTTGCTCCGGTTACTTATGTTGTGGCAGATATTTAATTAAGGTTTCTTAACGCTAATGTTATAATAGTCAGATTGCTCTGAAGATGGGAGGTGATATTCTATTAATGTTCACGTTCCCAGTCTGTGATTTTTGCCGGCCGTCTTTCCTGCAACGGCAGTTTAAACTGCATTTCCTTTCTCCTGTAATATGACTTGATCGCTTTAAACTCCGCACACTGAGTTACCATGGAGATCTAGCCCGCTAAAAAGAGAACCAGCGTCGTAGGACCGCAAACCCCGAGTTTTCCCTGAAGTTAGCCTGCTAAGCGAAAATCCGGCTTCGTAGTACAGGCCTCAGATGTTGCCCAATGCCTCATGTCAACTTCTAGTTATTCATTGAGAGAATCTGAGGGGTCGATCTACATCCTGAGGGGCAGCTTGTACAGTAGTCGTGTCTTTGGCAGAGTACATCTAGGACAGGGGTCGGCAAGGGCCGAATCCGGACCAGACCTATAATCAATACATTAATAGGGGATTTCAATTTTGACGGGGCGATTCTATTCTAACTGCCGCCGACAGGGGGCGAAAGAGACGAGTGAGCACAGAAGAACAGAAAATAAGAGACGAGAGAGCGGCAGAGAGAAGCGGAGAGGAAAGTGAGTGAAGAGAATAATTTGCGATACAGGGAGAGAAGCGGAGAGGAAAGTGAACAGGCGTGTTAGCGGCAGACAGGGAGAGATAATTACACATGGCGCTCTCCAAGAAGAGGAAAGTGGACAGTGAGAACAGAGCTTTTAACCCCGAGTGGACGGACTCATTCATGTTCATCCTGCCCACTGGGAGCACAGAACCAGTGTGTCTCATTTGTTCAGAGACCGTGGCGCTAGGGCTGCTCAATTAATCATATTTGAATCTCAATTACGATTATGGCTTGCAACGATTACGAAATAAAACGATTATTTATTTTTTTATTGAATTTTTTTTATTTTTTATTGGTTTTTCAGTTGAGTTATACTTAACGTTCAGGGTAATCAACTGTTAAAAACATACTGTTCAAAAAAAAATGTCTCCAATAAATTGATGTTTTCAAAGTAAATGGATAATCGTTTTTAATAATCGTGATATCAATTATTGACCCAAATAATCGAGATTATTATTTTTGCCATAATCGAGCAGCCCTACGTGGCTCTCATTAAAAGTGCCAAAACACAAAGTGTTTGACCAAACATTCCCTCTCAAGTCAGAACTGAGGTCACAAAAAATAAGCAATCTCAGAGCCCAATATGATTAGTCCACGTGGTCGTGGATCAAAATTAAAACTAAATATTGTTCCAGGGCAGGCTAACCCAGGCTAACCAATGAGCACCTGCATGTGTGTATGAGAATGGCACTGACACCATTTCAGCCCAGATTTAAACTCCTGGCAGGACAAGCTCGAGCTCAATTCTTGCACTGTATTCAAAAAAAAAGTGAGTGATGGACTGCAATATAAGAGGGAAAGAAAGAGAAACTTTAAACTGTTCAATTGTTATGATGTGTAAAGACTGATATTGTTCGATAATCGGCTGATGTGAAAAGGTTAACAAAGAAAAAAGGGAAACTCAAGCTGCTGCTACACTTTATTTTTATTTATCTAAAATTAAGCACTTTTAAGATGCACACATTTTCAAAAGCTATTTTATTTATTTCTCTCCTATTTTTTTTTTTTTTTAAATGCAGCCAGAGTGGAACATTACACATATCCACAGTATTTTATTGTATATCTGTATAGTTCAATGTTACTTGACAATAAATAGTTGTTTTTGAATTTTACTTTCTTTATTTGATTGGCAGTCAGTTGTTGATTACATGCAGACGTTGATAAAGCTACAGGCTACTTCAATATATATCACACTAATTCATAAAGCAAGTTAGACATTTTGATTAGGGATGCTCCGATCGCCAATTTCGGGGCCGATCGCCGGAATCAGTATCGGCCGATACCGATCGCCGATCCGATCGAGTGGGCGGGGCCTAAATGGAAGATTTAAACATCACTTTAAATCTTCCATTTAAAGTGATGTTTAAAACTCAGTTAATGGGGCTCATTCACTGGAGCTTCCACAAACAACAATCAACTTCATTATTACATTCAAATGATGTACATTATTCAAGTTTACATTCACTTTGAATAATAACACGGGAGAAATGAGCGAAAGCGCTCTCTTTTCCTCTCTCCCTCTCTCCTGACAGCCTGTTAGTATCTCATGCAGTTCACTGATCCAGTAATGAGTGACCCGACAGTGAAGAATACATATATTTATAATGACTAGTTTAGCTTGTTCCAGAGGTAGGCTAGATAAATAGCTAAGTGTGTTAGGTCTAACTCTTGTGTGTTTCGCTCCGCTTACCGGTCCGGCGGGCGGAGCTGCAGGATTTCTGCTTCACACACGTTGCATACCGCTATTTTACTGTCTTTTTCGGACACCTTAAAATAATGCCAGACCGGTGAAGCCATTTTGGCGAGCTTGTTTTGCCGCACACAGAGAAAAGTGTCATGTATTTTACGTCATGCGATCGGCTCTCGCGATCGGCATGTTTAGAGAGCACCGATCGATCGGTAGAGAGTGAGTATCGGCCGATCTCGATCGGTTACCGATCGATCGGAGCATCCCTAATTTTGATGTTCCGGACCTTTGCATAGGGAGATTTTCTCTAACTGGACCTTGTTGAATACCCCTGATGTAGGGTTTCTCATTAATGTAGCTATGGGCTACAGTGAAGTGTTCTACTGCAACACTCCCCAGTCGCACCGCGACTGTTACAATGAAGGCTCGATAATCAGCTAACGGCATATAGGATGGGTAAAGTGCTATATCTTTTATAAGTGGAGGCTCGAAAATGACATTCCCAGAACAAATGACCAAAACTTCACTTATTTTTTCTCAAAGCAATGATAAACCTGTGAGTTGGATGTAGAAGAGTCAGAATCAATATAGATTTTTTTTTTTTTTTTTTAAAGTAAATTCAGATTGAACATAGTAAAACTATTTAAATTATTGTGTCCGTCCAAAAAAAAAAAAAACATTACTTATAGTGAAAACCACCCTTGAATGATGGGATCGGAGACTAAAAGCTTTAGGAATCCAAACTATAACATATAATAAGTACCCTGTATCAAGATTGATGCAAAACAAGTGACATTTGACCTTTTTAGAGAGATTTAGCAACACAAATACACTTCTGGGGTCATTTGGGTGGATTTGACCTAAATAACCGAGTGACACGAACTCTAGATTTTAGCCGAGACCGGCGGAAAGTTTGTCTCAAAACTCGTGTGTGTAAAAAGACGATCCACAAGCAGAGATTTGAGATCCACAAGCAGAGATTTGAGATCCACAAGCAGAAATGTGAGATCCAGAAGCGCATTTTTGGTCGACAAATACAAAATGGATTCACAAATGCCTGATCGAAAGTTGTCAATGTTAAATTGATATTCAAAGATCTTTTTTTATTTGTAAAAATATTTTGCGTATTTGAAGATCCGTTTTACATTTGCACATTTATTTATGAGTTTGCAAATCTTTTAAATGCATTTGTGGATAGTGTACTTTTACATTTACAAATTACACACAAATTATTTTTATGTTCACACAAATAATTATGAGACATATCTAAGCCCATAGATTTGAGACGGCGGAGGGGCTCAGCACCCGCTGCTCGTTGAGGAAAGTAACTGCATAACAATTACGTGCCATCACGTCAGATTCTCCAAACACCAGAAAGTCTCCAATAACACCATACAAAGTAGCTGAATTTGTCGCTAGTCCAGTGGTTCCCAAACTTTTTCAGTCGGGACCCCCTTGGGTATTGGAAATATTTTCGGGACCCCCCCAACCCGGTTCCCATCTATATTGGTAGGATTCATTGTATATTGTTGTAAAAAGGCTTACTCGTGCCTCATGCTCTCAATCAATGAGAACAACCTGCAAAACAACAGCTTAAAGCAAGCAAGCTAACGGGCTGCGATACTGTAAAACAACAACACTATGAGTTAAGTTAGCCATACCCTGATCGTGAAGTGTCATCCCTATGGTTCCTCCGGTGTTGATAACTAGGACTTGTGCCTCTGGAGCGATTGGTGAAGGCTCAGAGCTTTCAGTCGAGTCGCAGATCGATAACTTTCTCCTTCGACATTTGGACAGCGGAATACTCCTTGTAGGACTATCATTCAGATTCAGTGTAGGCTGTGACAATGCCCTTGCAAGGGACGTCAGGTTGATGCAGCTGGGGTCCGCCATGATGCTTCACCACCAGTGAGCTGGTGTTGTGACGTAGGTTCAGTTGAAGGCTTGCTGTATATAGAGGCGAAGTCCCGCCCTTCTACTTAATTCCGCCCCATGGGACCTTATTTCGGAAAATGTATGTATTGAAGGGAGGGAAAAGTTATCTTTCGATCCCGTTTGAATTGTGCCATGTATTACACAAATACGGTGGCCGGCAGGTGCAAACGCTAAACAACGGCCAAAAACACACACATAAGCAGGAAACACCTGCAAATAATGAAATGAAAAACCAACAAACCCTGAAAACACATACAACAGAAAAACGCTGCATTTACAGAAATGATGCAAGCTAAACCTACAACACACAAACCCTGAAAACAAACGCAACAGAAAAACACTGCAAATACAAAAACGATATGCAAAGTGAAAAGCACATACAATCGAATAACACGTTACAAAAAAAAAAGACATTACAAAAAAAAAAACATTCCGGAAGTGCTTCAGGCCTCTAGGGGGCGCGCTACGTGGAACAGATTGATGTATGACCAGACATAGAGAGAACGAACAAGAGGAAAGAAAGTTCATTTAAGTGGAGAAAGATATAAGAAGGTAAGTTTTGTTTTGTTTTTATACGTAGCTAGCGTTAGCGTGTTTGATCAAAGAGCTTGCAAGAGCCATTGTGCACCTAAATGTAACTCTTGACATAATATAGATATAGTATAGAACCGGGACGCCCCTCCCTACACGCAGATCACACAGACTGGGTGGGGTCTCACGCCCTCACCTCGTGGAGGGGGCCTCAACTGAGCCGCAAATGCGATGCGGTGATAAAAAGGAAATCAAATGTAAAAAGTTGAATTAAAATATTAAAACAGCAACACAACATTATTCCCAGATTAAAAGACAGTCTGAAGAGGTGTGTTTTGAAGGTCGGTGCAGTCTCTGATGTTTAATGGGAGTGAGTTCCAGAGGGAGGGGGCAGCGATGGAGAAAGCTCTGTCCCCCCAGGTTCGGTGCTTGGTTTGTGGGGGGATAGACAGGAGGTTGGCTTCTGATGAGTTAATTGAAAGACCGTTCTTTAATACTATTATAATATTTAGGTAGCTGAAAAATATCCACTCTTTTTGAATTAACCTAGCTGTCCTACATTTTATTTCTCCACAGATGTACTGTCCATTCTGTGGTGCCAGCGTGACATCTTCGCATGGCTTTTGTGGTGTCTGTGGCAGAGACATCACATTTCTAAAAGATGTGACTAACAAAGTCCCTGAGGAGATGCCCACCACTAGTGCGCATCTAAGTGCACAGCCTCGCACCAGTGCAGGTAAATAGGTTGTTCGTTTTATTACCAAACAATAAGTATTTATAGAAAACTTGGTTTAAAAGTTCGAATTCTGTTATTATACAAATACATCTCTAAACTATGTGGCTTACCTACTGTTGAATGTGTTATAAGATGTTCCTCAGAAGGGATTGAGGATGAGACTCCTATTGAACATAATGAAGAGTAATGAATGTTTTATTCCTGTTTTTTTTGTAGCAGGAAGCTCAGCTGTAGAGTCCTTTCAGAAATATAGGGAAATAAAAAAGAGGGAGAGACCTTTTTTTACAAAGGGACGGCATAACTCCAAAAATAAACAGAAATTGGTTAAGGTATGCAACGTTTTCTATTATGAATACATCTGTCATTCAAATCTGCTCACCACACTCTCATATAATGTCCGAAAAAATGTTTTATTCATTTGCATATTATTGTCTTTTTGCAGATTTCTGTTGGAGTAATGAGGAGGATGGATGGCTGCCTTAAACCTGTGAGAGGAAGGTCACTTCCCCTTAATGTTGAACCTCAATGGGCATGTGAAGAACTGTTGGCTGCTGCCATAAAAAAGCAGAAAGCCTTTAACCAGGACTTGGAAGATGGTGCCCATGTCTTGTTGTACCCTGATGCGAGGGTGATAACAAATATCCCCGGAACGGACACCCCTTTCACAGTACAGATGTACAAAGAGGCCATTGGAAAGCCCTACCAACGAATTACGTTGTACATCTGTACTCTTGAAGCCGTTGAAAACAGTTGTAAGTGCTTCTGACATATATTCCCCCTTGTTTAAAGCACTAAACTGTATAATAGTTCAAATGTAAACATAACAGTTGTTCTGTCTATATTTCTTAACACAATTCATTCCACCCATCATTCCTTTCTCTTCGTGGTTGAACTTATGACGTCAAATGGTCTTTTATGAATAGTGGCAGAAGAAATGGAATTTAAGTATCAACAAAAGCTTCCAAACTTTCCTTCTGTTCAAACTAAATATAAATTCCCTCTTAAGGATTGTAATTCTAAATTAACCTTTTTTCTCACAACAATGTTGGTTTGTTGTGCCCTAAATCCTAATGTGAGAGTGAAAAAGACGGTCAACAATATAATGTACATTTCACAAACATTTTGTGTTTCGATTGAATCCTTTCTGATTGATGTCAATCCAATTATTCAGGATTCAAACCAACATTTTATGATAGGTACAGACGTAGGGGAACAATTATTTGTATAGTATTAATCATGACACTTTTATTTTCTTAGGTTACACTGGAACAACCTCTTCAAGTGACGAGGACAGTGTGGTTGTTGCAAAGTTGCCATCTGGAGACAGTCTTGCTGACACCGTGGTCAGTTTGGATCTGTCGTGGCATTTATTCTTAAAGTGAATTTATTTTATTTCAGTCAGTCATTTGTGTGTTGTATGCAGATGTGGGACTTTCCAAATGAACAGAGCACTCCCAGAATGGACAATAGTTTGCCAGGGTAAAATAAAACATTGTCAACATGTTATTTTGTGCCACAAGAAGCAGAATGTTTTAACAGTACAGTAGTTTGAATATATTTGTTGCTTACCCAAGGATGTGGTCTCTGACTTGGCTGAGAAGATCCTGCATATTGGGGCTGAACATTCGACTGTGAAGAATGTGGTACTGCACATTGGAACAAATGATGTTGTGAAACAACAGTCAGAAGTGCTGAAAGAAGACTATAAATGTTTGTTGGAAACTGCCAGCTCTCTAAATGCAGAGGTGTTCATCAGTGGCCCTCTACCGCCAGTCAGAAGAGGAGTGGAGAGATTCAGCAGATTGTTTGCACTGAACACCTGGCTTTCAACTGCCTGTACTGACCATTCTGTTCATTTTATTGACAATTTTAACTTTTTATGGGATCGCAGACATCTTTTCAAGGCAAATGGAGTTTGCCTGAACAAGTCAGGAGTGAAATAGTTTATCTCTAACATATTCAACTGCCTGCGTCATCAATCTGTTCCCTCTGCCAAGGACAAGCGGCAAGAGGAATCAAAACAGGAGAAAGACACAACACATCACGCAGAAAACCCTGAAGAATTTTCACTGAGGAATGTTCTGATTACGGGAGACCTATGAGACACATGGAGGAGTCTTCACTGCCCCCCCCCCCCCCCCCCCCCCTCACTAACACTAAGAAAGTGGATCACATCACTCCTGTTCTGAAGTCTTTACACTGGCTTCCTGTGTGTCAAAGAATAGATTTCAAAAATACTGCTGCTGGTTTATAAAGCACTGAATGGTTTAGGCCCAAAATACATTTCTGACCTCCTGCTAAATTATGAACCATCCAGATCTCTCAGGTCTTCAGGGACTGGTCAGCTTTCTGTCTCCAGAGTCAGAACTAAACATGGTAAAGCAGCGTTCAGTTATTATGCTCCAAATATCTAGAACAAACTCCCAGAAACCTGCAGGTCCGCTGCAACTCTGACTACTTTTAAATCCAGGCTGAAGACTTTTCTTTTTGTCGCTGCTTTTAATTGAACTATTCATATCTTAGACTGCACTGTAACTTTTATCCATGTATTTTTTTCTTTTAATGTTTATTTTATTAGCTTTTCTTTTTAATGACTGATTTTAAATGCCATTTTTTTAATCTCTTTCATTTTTTGTAAAGCACTTTGAATTGCCTTGTGTTGAAAAGTGCTATATAAATAAACTTGCCTTGCCTTACCTTTATCAGACCTCTCAGGCACCCACAACCAGCGTCTGATCGGGTAAGACTAATTACAAATGTAATTATACCATGTAGGTTTGAATTTGTGAACATGAAATCAATAAATACCTTTGTGTGCTAATGACACTGTCATTAGATAAACTGCATCATTATTTATTGGGTAAAAGTAGGATGGAGAACCAACCCCATTCCAGGAAGAGGTCCAGTCTGCCCCGGGTCAGAACACCTTCTATAGGTAAACGATGTTGACAGTTGCATCGTGACACAGTTGTTTGGTGTGTATTTTTATTTGTACATTTGGTTGTTTGCATAGCCTCCAATCACAGTGGGTAATATTGCCAGGAAGCAGAACAATTATACTTTCATACATTTCCAAAGGACACCCACAACATCTTAGTGAAGATGATACAAAAAACACCCACAAATATTTTTCAAAGGTCAGATATTGTTTGTTGCATCCATTTCAAGGATTGTGCAGGAGTATGACAAAGTGCTGTTGTCAGTTTAGAACCCAATGTATTAAAAAAAACAGGAAGAGGATCGACATCCTTTTGCAAATATGACTGTCATGCATATATTATGTATTTGAAAGTAATTATTCAACTGTCTTCTCACTGCAGCAACTACACAACTGTGTATGCACTTATCATTATTGACAGCCAGTCTGAGCCAGAAGAGGAAACGGAGCAAACTGCAGAGGAAATGTATTAATTGTTACTTTTATCACTTAATTTTTTTATTCTATACTGTAAATCTTATTATAGCTTCATCATTTAATATTACAATACATCACTTTGTCTTTCCCAGCACAGAATACCTGACTGCGCCAGACATTGTTGCAGAACTCTCTGCAAAAATTAAAAATACCTCTTGCAGCAGGTTCAATATTAATAGAGCCAATGTGTGGGATGGAGCAATCCGCGGCTTCAAAGGGGCCTCATTCGACCCCTCTCATCAGATGCAGGTTAAGTTTACTGATGATGAGGGACAAACTGAGGATGGAGTGGACACTGGTGGTCCCAAGCGTGAGTTCCTGACCCTCCTAATGGAATGCCTGAGAATGAGAAGAATATTTGATGGCACAGGACAGGAAATTCCTCAAGTTCGACAATGCAGGTAATGATGTTCGCAAATCTGTCTTATGTTCAATACTGTACTGTAAATATAGGAGCTGCTTATGAATTTTGCAGCTTGATTTACGTGACAATTAAATTATCTTATACTGTATATCTTTATGATAACGTGGCAACTGTTGGTTAACGTGATAATAATTTAACAAAAAATATCAACAGCTGCAAAAGATGACGAATACTTTCATGCTGGGAGGATGATTGCAACTTCTATAGTTCAAAAACACAAGGAGAAAAAGAAGAAAACATCATGTTATGGCTCACTGTCTCAAAATCTGATTCTAAATGTATAATGTTCTTTATAAAGATATAACTAATACACAATTATGAATGTATAATATAAGCTGTTTTGTGTATTTAATCATGCGTTGGTCTACAATTTAATGATGGCTTCTACATATTTCACATAAACAGACAATGAAAAAATGTGTCCTTCATGCTGATAACTAGTGTATGCATCTGCAATTAGTATTCTAAACAGAGTAGTGTGTTGAATCCTTATTTCTTGCATTTGAAACAGATACAATACAAAAAGTGAACTTACTGTTGTGTTCAACTTCTGCCAAAAACTGTACATGTTTGCCACAGGAGCCACAGAACACTTGAACTGTCCCCAGATGTTGGCCACAGAAAGGACAAAACATGGCAGCCTGAAAAGACATACATTGATGTAGTAAATCCATGTAATCAAGTCAATCAAAAACACATAGTCTAAATAGTGGTTAGCTAAATAAATAGATACATCATGTTCACCGTTGAATCTGTGATTTGTCTCTCTCTCTCCTTGAATGTCTAATGCACACTACTATCCTGTCATTACTTTGTCCCTCTTCACATTTTGTCACTTTCTCTCTCTCTCTTTCTCACTCATTCAATTCAATAGCTTTATTAGCATGACCATAGATACAGGCTAAAGCTCTGTATAGTTGCAACATCTATACACAAATACATAAATATAAACAAACTGCTAAGAATTCAAATGTCCTTTTTCCGCGGTACTCACTATGGCCCGTGTTATTTGCCTGCACTTGATTTGTCATCTCTTTACAATGTTCTTCCCTCACTTTATCTTCTCTTCACGTGAAGCTCTCAGCTGGTGTAGTAGTTAGGCACGCTAGCTAGCTTTATAAATATGACGCTCTATGTATAAAAAAACAAAACAAAACTTACCTTCTTATATCTTTCTCCACTTAAATGAACTTTCTTTCCTCTTGTTCGTTCTCTCTATGTCTGGTCATACATCGATCTGTTCCACTTAGCGCGCCCCCTAGAGGCCTGAAGCACTTCCGGAATGTTTTTTTTTAGTAATGTCTTTTTTTTTTTTAATGTGTTTTTCGGTTGTATGTGCTTTTGACTTTGCATATCGTTTTTGTATTTGCAGCGTTTTTCTGTTGCGTTTGTTTTCGGGGTTTGTCTGTTGTAGGTTTAGCTTGCATCATTTCTGTAAATGCAGCGTTTTTCTGTTGTATGTGTTTTCAGGGTTTGTTGGTTTTTCATTTCATTATTTGCAGGTGTTTCCTGCTTAATTATGTGTGTGTTTTTGGCCGTTGTTTAGCGTTTGCACCTGCCGGCCACCATACACATATGATGTTTGTCAATCTTAAAAAATCATTTCCATGTCAAAAAAGTCACAGTTTGTTGTAAAACTGTTGAAATATAAGACTATGAAAAATACGCAACTAGAAAGACTACAAATCCGAGTCACGTAAGTGATGTCATTGTTTTCCTCTACTAAATATAGCTAAGATAAGATAACTTTAACAAGATGCCTGTGTGCTTAGTACCAGGGTTGCGTTCCGATAATCCAAAAATCAGCTCCTAAATTCTAACCCTATCTCCTATTCCTTGAAACGTCACGGGGTTAAGGGATAGTGGATAGGAGAATTCAAAAGGATTTAGGAGAAGAGACCGCGGTACTTTAGAGCAGTGGTTCCCAAACTTGTTGTGCCCAAGGCACACCAAAGGACAAGTAAAAATCTCAAGGCACACCTATTGTGCAAAATAGCCCTTATAACACGTGTTATCACTCATATCATGTAAAATATCTGTAAATGTGCATAATTATTTACTAATGCCAAATAAAATGTGACAAAGACAACTATATTACGAAATATTTCAGAAATTAATTTGAAACTTTATCAAATTAGGCTTCATCAAAGCAGCAACACACTCATTTACACCAGACAGGTCACAACATTAAAAATGAGGCAAAGGAAACTCAGCACAGAGAACTGTCAATGCAAGGAAGCTGCACTGCATGGTCCTGAACTACAAATTATAAATGTATTACTTTAAAAAAAGTAATATGTTACACTACTTCGTTACTATCTACATAAAGTAACTCGTTACTTTACTCGCCGAGCACGTACGAACTGCGCATGCGTGAGTGGCAATAACTTTCCTTACCAGCAGGCAGCGGTAGTGTGTATTTGTCATTCAAAACAGGCAACAACCGGAAGACAGAGAAGAAGAACAGACTACGTGATATAAACAAACAACAAATAGCGTGTGCGGTAGCTTCACCTTAGCATGTGTTCTTTGCAGGTGTTTGTTGAGGTTTGACGTGGTGTTTACAGCAGTGGATAACAGCTTCTGGCCTGGACACAGTTTGCACCTCACCGTCACATTCCTGTCTATTCTTCGGACAATCTCAAAGTAATGGGCATACCTCTTCCACCCCTCGAGAGTTATCGCTGACTCAGCCATGTTTATGCAGCACTGCACGTGGAGATGTGGATGCGCAAGTCGCGCAGATT